GAAAGCAGTTTTGAGCTCAGAGGTTGCAAAGTGAGTTGAGGGACCACGCTACGGCGCGGCGTCTGTCCAACGCACTGGCACTGAGCCTGCGCCCAGAAGGAGGCTCAAGCGTGTCAAAAGTCAATCACAAATCATAATGTTTACAGCTTACTCACTCCTTCCCAGGCTCAGGCCTAGTCCCATCGCGCTCTAGAAGAGCGCGCGCGGCGTGATCCCCCCTCCCCCGCCATTACCTTTCTAGAGAGGTTCACAACATGCAAAGGTGATGTACCCTCGCCTTCAAATGACCAGAAATTGTGCAATTGCAGAAATTGACGTGGCATTAACGTGGCATCGATTCAAGAACATCTTTGAGCACACGTGATGTCACCTTTTCATCGAGAATTTAGCCACGTGTGCCAATGCCACGTCAATTTCTGCAATTGCACAATTTCTGGTCATTTGAAGGCGAGGGTACATTTTTGATTTCTTTGTAAGGGCATGCGGCTATTACTTGCAGGAACATGAACCGTATTTCACAAACAAAACTTAGTTGAATGTGTTTTTTTTCAAAAGTCCTGAATTAAAAAATCGATATATTGTTATCCACGAATATGGTATCGAGATGTAGGTCTGTTTCATTTTTTTAGTAAAAAGCAAGGGCTTGTTTGTGGTAGTCTGTGCGCAACGAATAATAATGCGCTCCGCCGAAATTTCCATGCCCTATTTGAACTGGGAGTAGAAGTCAAAAGCTCTCCACTCTGCTTCCTCTCATGTCATGGCGAATTTTATGTTTCTTAAGAGAATCTCTGTCCGGCTTTGATCTTATGCAATTTCTGTTATCCTGTAGACGATTTAATCCTCTGAATTTCATGATACAGAAGCGGGCGCAATGTGCGTTGGAGGGGGAGGCAGTCTACGAGACGGCCGCTAGGACTAATCTACAGAGGGAGAATTCTGTTGAGAATAAGATTTGTCAATGAAGTCCGATGATTCCCGCTTCTGTGAGCCTAATTTTTAGAGCTGAGATTTTTCCGTGATGCTGACGCGCGACGTTAGCTGCCCCCCCTCCAGATTGCCCCACAAGAGTATATGTATCGCACCGGTTTATCTATCATGAGCCCTTAGACTTTGCTGTTCTTAAGGAATGAGGAGAACATTTAGCTCTCAAGATAGGTCAGGTCACTAGTGCCGCGCGATGCTTGAAGCTTAATATTAGGCCTGGGCTTTAGGCTTGGTCTTAGGCCTGCTACTAGCGAGCCAGAAGGTGTTCTATCAGTGCTGACCTGCCCTGGGACCATATGCATATTCTTGGCGGATAACTTGTGATCATTTATTTATGCTCCCACTTCATTTACTATAGGTCTGAACAGATATTTCTGGTCACGATTGTAACTTTTAGGCGCTATCGCAAGACATGGGGCATTTTGGTGGCGATGCATCTCGAACGGTGTAGAAATCTCTCATTTTTGAAAGCGGGACCAAGGTTTAGGTGAGGGAGGAGGGACACTAGGATGTACTAGAATTTCCCCGAAGTTCTTGCCTCTAGGCTTAGTTCCAGAGGGCCCCCATCTCTTGTGATAGCGCCAAATTTTGTTCTTGACGCGATTTGGTTGACCATTTGGCACCGAAGAAAACTAGTTGAGGAAAGTTTATCACGAATTCAGTAGAGAAGTTGTAGCGCCTACCTGGCCATATGGTTCCATATTCGCGTTCAAGTGCCACTATTTGATCAGTGCACTCATTAAGCCCTATCAATAAAATTCTACGGGACTAATTTTCTGTATCATTAGGAGTTTCAGTGGACGAATAGTGTCGAAATAGTCGTCGAGTGTTTTTAAGTGCTGATTTATACAGGTGATTGATGACTGACAATCAATACGCCCCGTTGACTGCGAACACAGTTCGGACGTTAACGGATAAACTTTACGAGAAAAGGAAGGCTGCTGCTCTGGATATAGAAAAGTAAGTGTAGTTATGTGTCATATTAGTATTAATGGGGCCATTAATGTGGGACGCAGAGGTCGCGTTAAATTTTATTCGTGTTTTTATCCACGTGCCCACCTGAAAGGAGTGTCATCACTCGCCGGCATGTCCACTTGAGGCCGATGTCAGACTTTGCGAATCATGCGATTCGCTAGTGTCCGCGGTAAATAGCCAATCAAGCGATTCGCTGGCCGCGACGCGACCGTGGACGCTAGCGAATCGTCGCTTCACAAAGTCTGACATCGGCCTGACGTAGCCTGTCAAACTAGCGAAGGCTAACGCCAGCGATCGCTACGCTGTTACGCATGGAGAATACGATCCTATTTTCCCTTAAAGGAAGCAGTCACGATAATTTTCATGGCAA